TTTTGTCTCCAGTTTATCAGATCAAGCACAGCATGCTGGTTTAGGGTCAGTACTATGACCTCATAGCAAGAAGATCGAGGGCCTCCCTCCATAAATAAAAGGAGTTTGTTGTCTCTGTGGCTTCTCCCAGGGTAGTCTGGCTTTTTCCCACAGTCCACAGAAGTATAGTAGTGGGTTAGGTCTCTGTATTAGCTCTGTAACAGACTGGTGACATGTCCAGGGGGTACCCAGCCTCGTGGCCTGTGGCAGCTGGGACAGGCTCAGGCCCTCCTTCTCTTGTGACCCTGAACTGGATCAGCTAAAACAAATGGATGGATAGAATCCTTACTGGGTTTAACTGTACTTTTTGGAATCAAAATGTAGGTAAATATTACTTTTACCTAACCATACCTTTCAGGTTTGACCTGCTCCCGATCCCAAATCCTGATGTAATTAAATGGTACATGGACTGATTCTTATAAAGTACTTTTCTACTCAAAGCACTTTATACAACATGGCTCACTCCCCCCATCACACAAGACTTTTTTCTACACCTGAGTGCTTTCAATCCAAGTTTCACTCATGTTCATTCTCTGTCTGATGGATACATCACACGCTTCCAAAAAACCGAATGCTGACGACCTCCTAGCAGTTTTCTCGCCACCCAACATACGGTCTGCTACGTCCATCCATCCAGTCGGTTTATCTCCGCTAAATCCAGTCCGGCCGCCTGTCAGCAGAACTCACAGCTCCTCTCACGTTGCTCCGAAACGGGTCACAGGCTGGGCGAGTTAGCCGGCAGCACTGAACCCACCCTTCCAAACAAAGCCAGGTAGCAGGGGGAAGCACAGCTCTGTTCTCCTTCCTACTAACACCCTTTAATGCAAGCCGGAAATCTGTCGCTAGCTCCACACTCTACTGTTCTCCATCGTCGTGATGTTTCAATCCCTCCTTTCGCTAAATGCTTACGCAAGTTGGCACTGGGATGCCCAGTTCTTCCCTATCCGCCATTTGCAAACGCAGCAGCAAGCTCCCTACCACCA